AAAAAAAAAGGCCACAATATAAAAACTAAGGTTCTGCATGCCTCTCTATCAGTATAAAACATGGCTTTCCCCCAGAAGCTCAACTATTTTCCATAAGCACGGTCTTCTATCAACAACTTACATTTTCCCCAATAGACATATTTCTTTGTCTACTCTTTTATGTCAAAAGTACATTCCATAGTGCAATGATCCAACTATGGGCTGATTTCTCTGGAAACTGTCGGCATTTCTCTCCCTACCTTTCTTTTGTTTCTAAGAGCAGTTGTGGATTATTATAGACCTAAAATAGGAGTTGAAATATGCATTGCATCACTTGTCATGTTAGCTATAATGGAAGCAGCAGAAGTAACCAGAAATGAGGAATAGGAAATTTCTGATAAACAACTCTGGTGGTTATCTAAAAGCTGAATTGAATCACAGACACCAGAGTTTGGAATTGCATGTTGAATTGCAGAATTAGAAGCAACTGCCTCCCACCTATGTGATAGTGTCAACTTAATTCAAAACGTGATCGTGGTTTTATAGGCTTAGCATTCCATTCTGTGGTAGTGCCAGAGAGCATTTGTTTATGAAATTGAATTTGGAAAAAGAAATGATAAAAAAGAAAATAATGTGGGGTCCCCTTATAAGAATGCTATTATGGATGTAGATAGTATTTGGAGGTGAAACGAATGAGATTACCTCTTTTACAGACTCAATATTTATCAATTAAAACATGCAACTGAAGGATTCAGCCCTGTTTTCATGCAATTTCCAACACAGAATAGGAGGTGAGAATTGATGCCTCTGTCATTTGGGTTTGCACTGAGTAGACTAAATAAAGATTGTTTAACTCACGCACCTCTCTCTAGCCTTCTCTCCCTTAATTTGGAATAGAGTCCACAATTAATTTCAGTTTCCAAGAGGAGAGATAAATGAGAAGCAGTGACATTCTGAGAGAATCTAAAATCTTTGCTGCAGCCCCGACTGACCCTGACTTGTGCCCCTTCATCATGGAGGTAGCTCTTGTCATTTAGAAAACTTAAGCTGCTTTTGAAGAGACTTATTGGTCTTGTCTATGCAGACTCATAAGTCCTTTATCTGCTCTTGGGAGGAAAAAGCAGACTTAAAGCTGGATGTTCCTGCCCGCTCATCTCCTGGTTCTTCATTCTTTTCCAGGCAGAGAGCTGGTGGGATTCTTTGTCCCTAGCAAAGGGGTATTTTCAGACAGGTCAGAGAGGTTAGAAGGGAGGGGTAGGAGGGGGAATTCAGATCTGCCCCCTCTAACTGGCTGCTGCTCTCCCAGCAGGACTGCATTGGTAGACTTCCCTTCCTTCCCACTTACCCTTCCTGTCCTCTCTCACTCGCTCTTTCTCGATCCCCAGTTTGGCCTTTCATAGTAAGAGGTCAGTATGTTTTCACATTTGGGAAATCTCATTCAAGAATTTTTGTCAATGGACAAGTCATAAGAAACCCTTCCATTTTAGGGCTCGTTGACGTCACCAAGGAGGCGATAAATATCTGTTGATATAATTGGATGTGAGATTCAGTGTTGAGATAGCAAAATTCTGCCCCTCGCTCCTTGGCAGGGCCCTATGATTTATGCAGGAGCAGAGGCAGCACGCAATCGAGCTGTCAAGAGAGCGTCAGCTTATTAGGCAAATGCTGCGTGCTTTCTGAAGAGGGTCGACGCTATAAAATCCCACTCCGGGCTCTGGTGTGGAGAAACTCAGAGCCCAAGTCCTTTGAGAGACTGAAGGGAAAGAGAAGAGAGAAAGAAAAAGAGAGTGGGTACAGAAAGGAGAAGGGAAGAAAAGCTTCAGTAAGAGCCCCGAGACATCTCTCTGCAGAGAGGCGGCAGCGCCTGGCTCACCTGAGAAGCGCCCGGCAAGGTAGGGAGCGCCTGGACGGGAACGCGCCACCAACTTTGTGCTGCCTGAGCTGCCGCGGGGCGGGCTGCCCCTGTGCTGCGTGTGTGTGTGTGTGTGCGCGTGCGCGTGTGTGTGTACGTGTGTGCGCGCGCGCGTGTGTGAGTGTGTATGTGTGTGTGCGTGTGTGTATGTGTGTGTGTGCGTGCGTGTATGTGTTTGTGTGCGTGTGTGTGTGCGCGCGCGTGTGTGTGTATGCGTGCGTGTATGTGTTTGTGCGCGTGTGTGTGTGTGCGCGCGCGTGTGTGTTCGCTGACTGTGTGTGTGTGTGTGTGTGTGTGTGTGTGTGCAGCTGGGATGTGGCGTCAGCAAACTTAGACGGCTGCTTATCGTTACTCCTCGGTGTCTGTCTAAAGCACCCCTCCACCACCCCCAACTCCATAGATCCCGATCCCCGAGAAAAGGAAGCAAGGACAGGGATGGAAAGAGAGGAGGAGGAGGAAGTAGTTCTCATTTGGGAAGAAAATGCTGAAATGTCTTGAAGGGGGTGGTCAGAGAGGGTGAGATCTTAGATTTGTGGCTCTTCTCTAGGTTCGGGGGAATCAGTTTTGGGGATCGCTAGAAAGAGAACTCAGGGACCGTCCCTTTGGGGTCACTCCTGCCTGGCGAGGGGATGAGCTTTGGTACCGAGCCCTGCAGGCGTCCCCTTTCCCGTTGCCCCTGTCACCCCAACTCCACAAGTCCGAGAACAGGCGCGTCAGCACCGCGGACAGCGCCCGCCCGACCCACCGAGGCGGGAACCTGGCGGGTCTGTGGGTGTCGCGTAGGCAGGCCCCCAGTGAGTGCAGCTCCCGGTTGATCTAAACTCTGATCAACTCTGTCTTTCTCTCTTCCCTTCTCTCATTCCGCCCTCCTCCCGCCTCTGTGCCGCAGCGAGCGCCCCTAACATGCGGTTGGCGCTGCTCGTGTCCGCGGGCGTCCTGCTGGTGGCTCTCCTGCCCTGCCCGTCATGCAGGGCCCTCCTCAGCCGGGGGCCCGTCCCTGGCGCCCGGCAGTCCCCGCAGTCCCCCCAGCCCCTGGATTTCTTTCAGCCGCCGCCGCAGCAGCCGCAGCCTCGGCCCGTCCTGCTCCGCGTGGGAGAGGAATACTTCCTCCGCCTGGGGAACCTCCACAAGAGCCCCGCCGCTCCCCTCTCGCCCGCCTCCTCGCCCCTCGCCGGCGGCAGCGGCAGCCGCCCCTCGCCGGACCACGCGACCGCCAACTTTTTCCGCGTGTTGCTGCAGCAGCTGCCGCTGCCTCGGCGCTCGCTCGACAGCCGCGCCGGTCCCGCGGAGCCCGGCGCAGAGCATACCCTCGGCGGCCACCAGGAGGCGTCGGAGAGGGAGAGGCGGTCCGAGGAGCCGCCCATCTCCCTAGATCTCACCTTCCACCTTCTCCGGGAAGTCCTGGAAATGGCCAGGGCTGAGCAGTTAGCGCAGCAGGCTCACAGCAACAGGAAACTGATGGAGATTATTGGGAAATGAAACTGTGCGTTTGTGCAAAAAGATTCTGCATTTAGCGAGCGCGCGCGCACACACACACACAATACAGTATTCTGTACCATAGTGCTGCTCTGATATCATTTGTTTATTTTTATATAGCTTGAAACATAGAGGATGTACAGGGAGAGCGTCTATACCCCTTAATTAGCATGCACAACGTGTATTCACGTGTAGTAACGACACAGTGTTATTTGTATTGTCTGCTTTTAGTTTCCACTTCCAGATGTCTTTAGTGGTGTTTTAAAGAGAATGGAGACCCAGGAGGAAACGTTTTGAAGGAGCTGATAGAAGATCCAGTTAATTATTTTTATTGAGGGGGGAGCCAAAGAGAACGCCATTCTCTTGGTGGCTGGGTGAGACGAAATCTGTAAGTTCTCTGAATCAACTTTTTCTTGTAAACGTTTCAGTAATAAAACATCTTTCCAATCCTTGGTCAATTTGGTTGTATAAGAGAATGTCGAATATTTATATTTTTAATAAAAGCTGCAAAGGTAATCATGACTTTATTTTCCTCTTTAATGCTCATACACAGGAAATTCTCTCAGCTCCTAGAATCCTCCAAATTGTCTTCAGCACAAGAAAAACCCAAAACTTCTTGCATTTTATTTTCTACTAAAAATACAATCACATGTCAGTGGCTCACAAAAACCCTGAAATTGCCATGGGTTCATCTTTGTACCTCAGATTATTCCTCTGAGGTTGCAGTTAAACAATTTGGGAAGTTGCTTCTAGCTCTAAAATTTGGCAATCCTATAAATGAAAGATCAATTCATAATGGAAATAACATTTAATCCTGATTAATAATAGGAAATTATGATTAATAATTTAGAAAATAATTGGGAAGAGTGGGGAGGGATAAAAGGAAAGGAGGAGAAGGTTGAGGCAGGCATTCCTCCAAACCTTAACAGCCAAACGCTGCACTTTTGTTCTATGAGAAAGGCTCACTTTATCAAGCTACAACTTTGGTACCATAAAATATATATTTTTTCTAAGCTACTTCTAACAGGATAAACTTGATAGCACTTCCACTTAAAGCAGCTAAATGTGGTTGCTATAAAATGGCACTTAGGAAAATTTTTCTTGTAAAGAACACTTTGACTTTAATAACTACACAGATACACTCCACAATTATGTCTATGCCAATCCTAATCACTTTGATTCTTAGGAATATGAACTATCTTTATTCACTTCTAAAACTAAACAACACATCTACTTAGTTACACAATGCATTTGCCTTTGCTAATTTAGTTATAGCTTTAAAAAATCAATCAAATGTTTAGTGCTTCTGTACTTCAAAATTAATTTGCATGTATGAAGAAGCTTCTTGCCCTAGGGTCCTTGAAATACACTTGACTAATGAATTAATAATATGAAGTACTTAATAAATCATTATAAGACTAACTTTTTAAAAACAGCATTTATTTAAGAGTCCATACAGAGTAAAGTTACATTTATGTTCTCAAGAAGGCATTATGGTGTAACAAATAAAGCATGATTTAAATATATATGTATTTATATATATTAATGTGTGCTATGTATATATATATTTAAATACATGCAGTTCTACAATTCACTAGATTGGTGCCACAGTGGATGTGTGAGAAAGGAGACAGTTCCTGCTGGAAGGTCTTTGTCATTTAAAGTGTCTGATACATAAATATCTAAAACTAAGGTTAGAAAAATGTCACAAGAGATGTCCTAGGCTTTCAGCCTTCTAGACTATGAAAGTGTCACCAAATTCAAAAAATATTTCTGGATATACACCCGGTGACATCTTCTATGGAAGAGAAAAAAAGTCTGCAAAACATTTCATAGCTTTGGTCAATGATTTACCTTTTGTCCACGTATTGATAAATCAGTCACTTCTGAATTAATGCTGAATTTCACTGACCACCTGCACTGTTAAAGAGGAAAGGAAATAAGAGCTACTATGATATTTTAACAAAAAGCCAGTGCCTATTAGACATGAGAGTGTAGTACCCACTTTTTCAAACACTTGCCACTTGTCACTGATCCACACACACCACACCTACACACCCTTTGTAATGTTTCCCACACAATAAAATATTCACATAAAATCAAATTTCTTTTTTCAAGTGCTTTCTGCAACTATTTTCTCAAAGTATTCTTTTCCAGCAGTGTGTTAGATAAGTCATATGGAATTAGAGGGTATTTTTAGTTTGTGGTGTTTTTTTGTTGTTGTTGCAGAAGTCCTGTTCAGCGGTCCCTTTCATCATCTCCATTTCATTGATTTCACCTAAGTTCCCTACTGCCTGTGTGCATCTCAGGAAGGCAGAGAGAGGGGCAGCAGTGGGAATAAACATCATTCATTCAGGGAGTTCAACCAGGAAAAGGAGAAGACATGACGAGCTGGCTCAGATTCAGTGCTACTCCCACTCCCCGAGGCTGCAGACTGTCCCTGGAGAGGAGGGGCCTCAGATCCAATCTGAAACAGAAGAAAACGTGAATCAGAGGAAGAAGAGCTAGTTGGTTCAGTCACTTTTCTACCAGGAGAAAGGATAATAATAATAATAATAATTATAATTATATGGGATGTAATTATGATTAGGGATGGAAAGCAAGCTCAGGTTATCTTGGCTCTGGCCAAGAGCCATGAAAGTAATTCACACTCATGATCCAAAGAAAAGGGGCAGCAGGAATGCATGCAGCAGAAGAAAGTTTTTGGGGAAAAAAGAGTCCAGGCTATTCTACTTAAAAAAAATCCACCTGTACTTTATTTGCTGAGATAATAGTGTCATTGAAACTAATAGGAATTTGAGCTTAGAAAAGCCTGCAGAATAAAAAAAAAAAAATCTTAATTTAAATGACATTGCTATACCACCTGACATTGTGGGGCATATTAATATAATATCACCACTGCTTAATTAAAAATTTTCTACCAGGATGTGAAAATATGTGTTTGTGTGCATGTGTGTTCTTAATTTAAATGACATTGCTATACCACCTGACATTGTGGGGCATATTAATATAATATCTCCACTGCTTAATTAAAAATTTTCTACCAGGATGTGAAAATATGTGTTTGTGTGCATGTGTGTATATATATCTATATATTTGTATCTGTAGAGATATATAGATATACATCTCCTTAGTATAATTTTCCAAAACTGCAGGCACAGTTTTGAGCAAATCATAAGAGGATTGTTTTTTTCTAGGCAATAATACCTAATAACATCAATATTTCTAAAGAGATAACTATCTTCTATAAATACCTGATAGACACATGATGTGATTTTTGAATTAACTGACCAACCTATTCTCGTAAGTGAAATTTATATATATTGTTTTGGGTTTTAAAAATAATAACTCAATGGAATGAGGGACATCATAAAGAAGTCTTGCTGAAAGGCAATTTGATGTATGGTCTCAAACTCTTTATACTTCAAGATACCATGACAACCACACTTCTTTCTAGGAGAACTATAGAAAATGGGTAAACATATTTTGATGGCTTCACTAGTCAAACTATTCCAGCAGGTTAGAATGCCGCTGATTTCAAAGCAATGAGATAGCCACATGCATTCTGCTTAGAAGCCTAGGTGAGGTTTTGAAGCTGCTATATGAATGGACAACACCCGGTGCAGGCAAAGCAGAACTTTGATAAGCATGGTGTTTTCTCGCCACTCAAAATGAGTGTTTGGCCCATACCTTATCAGATTTTACCCTAAATATACGTTTGGGAGGGGGATGTTTTAATATTAATAACATTATCCCAAGTACTTATGACTGTGGGATTATCCTTCACACTGCCATATTGCTCCCTGATAGAAAGTTAAGAAGGGCTATAAAAATCACAAGAATAAAAAATAAAACGAGAGTAGGATAAAGCTGAAGCATGTAGTTTTCTATGAAGGAACAGTTGAGACTTTAAGTGACATTGGGAGTTTTAAAAAAGGGTGTCACTAGATTCTGTTGGTAATGCGTTAGATACCTCAATGTCCTTGAAATTACAGTGAAATAGACATCACCCTGACAGAATCCTGTGCTTATTTGTACATGTCAAACTCTCCTCTTCCCCACCATAGTCACTTTACCTTCTCTAATCCTAACATATATTAAAAAAGTGATCTGGGTATATTATTGATGTATAAAAGACTTTTCTTCTAAGCATTCTATATGAGTGAAGAGTGGATTCAGCCTAGACAAACAGACCATCAGGGTCCATTTTGTAGCCTCTTTCNCAATAAAATATTCACATAAAATCAAATTTCTTTTTTCAAGTGCTTTCTGCAACTATTTTCTCAAAGTATTCTTTTCCAGCAGTGTGTTAGATAAGTCATATGGAATTAGAGGGTATTTTTAGTTTGTGGTGTTTTTTTGTTGTTGTTGCAGAAGTCCTGTTCAGCGGTCCCTTTCATCATCTCCATTTCATTTATTTCACCTAAGTTCCCTACTGCCTGTGTGCATCTCAGGAAGGCAGAGAGAGGGGCAGCAGTGGGAATAAACATCATTCATTCAGGGAGTTCAACCAGGAAAAGGAGAAGACATGACGAGCTGGCTCAGATTCAGTGCTACTCCCACTCCCCGAGGCTGCAGACTGTCCCTGGAGAGGAGGGGCCTCAGATCCAATCTGAAACAGAAGAAAACGTGAATCAGAGGAAGAAGAGCTAGTTGGTTCAGTCACTTTTCTACCAGGAGAAAGGATAATAATAATAATAATAATTATAATTATATGGGATGTAATTATGATTAGGGATGGAAAGCAAGCTCAGGTTATCTTGGCTCTGGCCAAGAGCCATGAAAGTAATTCACACTCATGATCCAAAGAAAAGGGGCAGCAGGAATGCATGCAGCAGAAGAAAGTTTTTGGGGAAAAAAGAGTCCAGGCTATTCTACTTAAAAAAAATCCACCTGTACATTATTTACTGAGATAATAGTGTCATTGAAACTAATAGGAATTTGAGCTTAGAAAAGCCTGCAGAATAAAAAAAAAAAATCTTAATTTAAATGACATTGCTATACCACCTGACATTGTGGGGCATATTAATATAATATCTCCACTGCTTAATTAAAAATTTTCTACCAGGATGTGAAAATATGTGTTTGTGTGCATGTGTGTATATATATCTATATATTTGTATCTGTAGAGATATATAGATATACATCTCCTTAGTATAATTTTCCAAAACTGCAGGCACAGTTTTGAGCAAATCATAAGAGGATTGTTTTTTTCTAGGCAATAATACCTAATAACATCAATATTTCTAAAGAGATAACTATCTTCTATAAATACCTGATAGACACATGATGTGATTTTTGAATTAACTGACCAACCTATTCTCGTAAGTGAAATTTATATATATTGTTTTGGGTTTTAAAAATAATAACTCAATGGAATGAGGGACATCATAAAGAAGTCTTGCTGAAAGGCAATTTGATGTATGGTCTCAAACTCTTTATACTTCAAGATACCATGACAACCACACTTCTTTCTAGGAGAACTATAGAAAATGGGTAAACATATTTTGATGGCTTCACTAGTGAAACTATTCCACCGGGTTAGAATGCCGCTGATTTCAAAGCAATGAGATAGCCACATGCATTCTGCTTAGAAGCCTAGGTGAGTTTTTGAAGCTGCTATATGAATGGACAACACCCGGTGCAGGCAAAGCAGAACTTTGATAAGCATGGTGTTTTCTCGCCACTCAAAATGAGTGTTTGGCCCATACCTTATCAGATTTTACCCTAAATATACGTTTGGGAGGGGGGATGTTTTAATATTAATAACATTATCCCAAGTACTTATGGCTGTGGGATTATCCTTCACACTGCCATATTGCTCCCTGATAGAAAGTTAAGAAGGGCTATAAAAATCACAAGAATAAAAAATAAAACGAGAGTAGGATAAAGCTGAAGCATGTAGTTTTCTATGAAGGAACAGTTGAGACTTTAAGTGACATTGGGAGTTTTAAAAAAGGGTGTCACTAGATTCTGTTGGTAATGCGTTAGATACCTCAATGTCCTTGAAATTACAGTGAAATAGACATCACCCTGACAGAATCCTGTGCTTATTTGTACATGTCAAACTCTCCTCTTCCCCACCATAGTCACTTTACCTTCACTAATCCTAACATATATTAAAAAAGTGATCTGGGTATATTATTGATGTATAAAAGACTTTTCTTCTAAGCATTCTATATAGTGAAGAGTGGATTCAGCCTAGACAAACAGACCATCAGGGTCCATTTTGTAGCCTCTTTCCCTTGAAGGCAGTTCCTAATCTAGAGGAAACTTTCATGACAGCTGTGCTGAAATAGCTAAAGAGTGTTCTGCAAAAGGATATGTATAATCTTTGGGAAATTGCTTGTGGCTAACAAGCCGTTTGGGACTGCTTTTAGAATTTTATATATTTTTGTGCTTTTCTTGCTAGAAATTAAAATCTATCTTCCATTTTAAATATTTTAGCTGTTAATACCTGACAGCCTTCATAATCTGGGATCAAATAGTTTGGGTTTGCTGCACTTATGCCTCCAAATTTCCAGGCGTAATTTATTAGGTTTTCCTCCAAACAATATGGACCGTTGATATCTTTCAGGGAAGAAAGGTCAGTGCCAGAGTGGGGATCAAGAGCAGAGATTATCCTGAGTGTCCTTAAATGATTACACCATCTCCTTGGTCTTGCTTTAATAAACCAAGAACCCACCAATCATTTCAGCAAGGAAGTTCTGTGCAAAGAGGCTTAGCCTAGCTTGAATCCCAGATCCAGCTGTAATCCCACCTGTATTACACGGACAAGTTACTTAACCTCTCTGAGCCTTAGTTTTCTTGTCTGTTAAAAAGAGATATGAGATTCTATTTCACAAGGTTGTTGTAAGGACTGAGTAAATAAAGTAATACACGTGAAACAGTTTGAACACGCCTCACTTATATTAGGTGCCCCTTCCTCCCTCTCTCCCTTCCTTCCTTCTTTGCTTCTTTCCTTCCTTCATTCCCTCCCTTTATTTTTCCCTCCCTTATTTCTTACAATGGTGAAGAGGCTTCTCTGCCATGCAGAATCACCTGGGGACTGTTTATGATGAACTATACACAACAGCGATGAACCCCAGTAAGAAAAGACAATCACATTTGAAAGCTCATCTTTCCAGAACTGGACAATACTTATATGATTTGATCCCCTCGGCATGTTGTAAAAATGATCATCCATGACACTGTCCAGCAAAGAGGCCCAATTCTTAGATATGGCTACCTCATAAAGGAAGAATGAGTTAAAGATATAGAAATCTCCTTTCTGTAAGCACAGCCCACCAAATCAAAAGCAGACATTTTTCCTACAGTCTTCCCCAGATGGAACTGTAAGTATGTATTCCTTCAAACAGTTTTCCAAATGCTGGCTCTGTGCCACCACAGGAAGTTTTGTTTCTTAGGAATATCGATGTCCCATAAAGCAAAACAAAGGACAAGCACCTGTCTCCTCTACCTGCTTTT